AAATGGCAGTTCACTGTAAGGTTGAAAGCACATGAGCACTGCTCTCTAATAAACTGCCCGACTGCCCGACTAAAAGCAAAGACTAGTAGCTGGCAGAAGGAGGAGATGACCCAAGAAAGCACAAGCAGCTCTTCATAAAGAAGGAGGTCAGGGTCAGGCACGCCCTTGCTTGTTCCCTGGAGGCAATCCTGAGAGAGTTGCTGCTTGGAGACCAGCACCTCTACACTCTGGTGGTTTCCCTGGGTTTTGCCTCTGCCAGAATGCAGCTGCTCAGTAGTACGCATGATGTCAGCCCTTACCAAAGGAAGAATAGGTAACAGAGCCTAGATTTGTTCTACTGTTCAATTCACAAAGGTATGAGAATATTTTACCTAAACAGGCTATCTGACGATTAAGAGCCAGCATCCTTAGCAAACAAAGATGATTGAGATTTTCGATATTTGACACACTATGACATAAAATCTCAGAAATGAGCTTTATGCTCGGGGTGGGGGGTTGATCTTGCCCATAGCTACCCAGTTTCTAGTTCACATTAACATTCTTCCTATTTAAAGTCCCTCAATTAGAAGGCTCTCTTCACAGAGCTGATCAATGCAAGAAGCTAAACACATGCTCTGCTTTCCCTCCCCAGAGGAATCTATTGTAGCAGCTGAGAAAGAGATATGACTGTGTCATACACACAATCATATCCAATCAGAAAACTCATGGGATGTGTGTTCGTAACTATGGACTCACAGGTGTTTCTAGTCAGCAGCCAACTTTCTTTTCTTCAAAGATGCAGAGCATACTCTGCTATCCTGTGGCTCACCATCTTTCCTTGCCCTGCTTTTGTTGGTAGAAGAAGATGGGAGATCAGTACTAGCTTCTGAATGCTCTTGATCTGATAGGCACACACATTGTCTCCATTTAGGAACTATCTCTAGCCATGTGGCCATCTCCTTGTGAAGACTAGATATGTAATTCCTAGGTGAACACTGATTCTTTCAAACACAAGGTTCAACTCTGCAAGAGGAAAGACAAATTCCACTGTATGCTTGACTATCTCAAACATGGAACAGAAACCTGGGCCTTTATCAGACGTACTATCCAAAGATGTTGCTGTAACATCAAATACTTATCTCAGACTCATCCCCTGGTCCCTTCTGGGGACAATGACTCTCTGACAGAAGCTGACTATGTTCCCATAGTCAGAATCTGATTGATTCCTGGTGCTCAGAATTCCTTCACTGTCTTCTTTCCAATTAGACTGTAGTTCTGTAGAAGTGATGAATTCACTTTTCTTGTTCATCAGTGTATCCCTGATGTTCTAAGTAAGTATGTGAGAATGGGGAAGGATGGGAAGGAGGAAAGAAGAGTGTTCTGGCAGAATCAGGGTCCTGCCTTTGTTTCATATGAAATGTCAAGGATAGCCACAAAGTGGGATGGTCAAACTTTAAGGCCCTGGACTCATTTCACTTTGGAATAAGACTAGTTTACCTGCACACAATCTCGACAACATCTAATGACAATTCTAGATGCTTCAAATATGGTGCACCGCTACCCACAAACAAATAGTAATGGTCTAGTAATTGTAATATCATCTAGGTAAATCTCAAGAGAATTATACCAAGTACTATGATTTGTCAGGGAAATCATAGTACATGCTAAGCCATTTTATTAATACATAATTCTAAGAAATGGCAGATATAGTGACAAAAAGATCAGCAGTCTCTTGGACATGGGAAGATATGGAGAATAACAGGTAGAATAACAAGGAGAATATGGAAATATGAGGATTAATGGATTGGTTTTTTTTTTTTTTAGAGCAGTGGCGTTTCTGAGTATATTACATGTGCCAAAGTTTCTCAAACTTTACAAATTAAATTTGTGAAGTAGTTAGTATATCAATTGTATTTTAACAAAGCTGTTAAACATATGTATATGTTTATATCAGCAACGGTATGTATTCTCCACCTCACTATTCCCAAGCATTGAATGGTTTGTGTCTTTAAAAATACTTCAGATGAAGCCATATGTGTCGATGTAAACCGGTAACCCTAGAGCACTTAGGAGGCTGGAGCAGAAAGATGGTTAGCCCAAAGCCAACTTGGGCTACAATGCAAACTATCAGAAAATCATATGTAAATATGTGTCTGTTTCAGTGATGAGGTTGAAAAAAATATCCATTCCTGGCACTTTTTGGAGAATTGACATGATTCTATTGATTCTTGTCTGAATTTGGCTTCCAGTTTAGAAGATATCTTAACCATGGGCAACAGTCTAGCACTTATACCTTCCAGGTGGCACACATTCCTGTAAGCTCCCATATTTTCTTTGTTTCCAGGCTCCTTAACTAAATACCACTGACTTGCTGGCCCAGGCGCCCAGCAACCCCCAACCACTACCATGGCCGAAGACGCAGACATGCGCAATGAGCTGGAGGAGATGCAGAGGAGGGCTGACCAGCTGGCTGATGAGGTAAAGGATTTTGATTCGGGGGGGGGGGGCGCTCCTTCTAATGTCTAAAAAAAAAAAAAAAAGCAAAAAGAGAGCTTTCTTTTTCTCTGTCTTAAGTTGTCTGCAGGTTAGAAAGACTTGATTGACTCTGACTCATGACCTGTAGACATTTAAGAAGGCAGGGTACTTTAGGAAAAGTTTTGTCCTTGGATGTCTTGCAGTACACTGTAGTTAACTCAATTCTGAAGGTTAACAATTTTAAGAACTTTCCCAGCTGGTTGTTAAGCATGGCAATTATTAAAAATGAGGTACATAATCTAAAAATTAGATAGAATGTACACACACAGACACTCACACACACATGCAATGGTACTCAAAACTCAATGTGCTCAAAACTCATTGCTACCTAGTGAGTTTAGCACATTTTTTCCTTACATATTTATCCTCTTGAGTCATTTACATTCATTGTATGTAAGGAATGGAAAGCCCACAGACCAATGTTGCTATAAATCTCAACCACAGAGACAGTGTACCCACTGCATTCAGAAATCAAATAGAAAGCAATTGTTTATCACCAAGTCTTATTTAGAACCTAGAATAGCCAAATGCTACCAATCATGGCCTGCTTTATTGTTTTGTTGATTACCTAGAGTTAATACCGAAGAGAAAATATTAACAATGTATATAAAACCTTTAAAGTATACTTGTCTGTAGCTATTACACTAAGAAAATAATATACAAAGTTGGGGGTGGAAAGGAGAGGTAGTGGGTCTGGGAGGAGTTGGGGGAAGAATGGAGGAGGTAAATATAATAAGAGTATATTGTTTGAAACTCTCAAATCATGAAAGTATTTTTTAAATATGAAAACTTTGAGGAAGTCCTCCGTTTTTTGGAATCTGTTTTTTTTTCAACAAAAACATTGTCTTTTTTACTAATGAATCTAGTGTCAACCCTAAGTCTTCACTGCTTCATTTTCTTCTTATTCATGAGCGTAAGTGAAGTTATGCAGTTCCACTGATCATGTTGGAATCTCACTAGTTCATCAGATGATGAGCCATGGATAGATTACACCAAAAATCTACACAGGAGTTGTGGCTAAGCACACCATGTTGTATTGGGTGTCAACTATGTGCTCTTTGTATTTCATATTTGTTCAGCAGCAATAAGCATGAATATAGATAAATGTATTTGTATTTGTATTTTTATTTTTCCTGAGAGTCAGATAAACATTTGCCAGCACATTGCTGCTGATGACCATTTTACAGAAAGAGAGAGAGAGAGAGAGAGAGAGAGAGAGGGAGGGAGAGGACAGGACACAGGGAGGGAGGAAGCGTGGGAGGGAGGGAGAGAGAGGGAGAGAGAGAGAGATCACCTATGTCCTTTCCAGCAAAGATTCACATCTTTCCCATTCCTTTAGGATCATGTCCAACATAAGTTTCCTACTTGAAAGCATGGCTCTGAGAAATCACATTGGTTGTTGGATTGAAACTATGTTAAAGGAACTGAGAGCAAAGTGGCAACGCTATGCTGGAGGAGCAGCTGCCAAGCTCAGAGTTTTCCTCATGCTTTTCCTTATCTAAGAATGAAGATAATTATAGCTGTTTTAAACCTACTTGAATTTTTTTTACCCTAAGATGACAAGTTAATTTGTATCAATAACAACTTCTGGTTATGTTTTGAGGAGCTTTAAAGGAAATTTGTTACAATGTAAAGAAAAATTATATATGGGTTTAAAATTCAATATCCCTAATCCTGGAAGGACAAAGTAGCCCTCAGAGTCTATGAGATAGGTTTTTACACATCCAGAGCATGCAAGATAATTTTTGCAGATTTCTTTGTCTTTGAGATCAAGATCAACCTCATATGGTTTTGGTTTTATGACAATAAGCTTTCATGTGATTGCTTTAGGAAATCTGATCATGTAGAAAACCCAATAGGAAAGAGACTGAAACTGGAAAGACATTTTGTGTTTCGGTTACAAAGTTGAATTACTATGTGACCCGAACCTTTATCTTTCTCAAGTGAAAACAAGTATCTCTGATTTTCCTTGCATTCTATTCCTGCCCTTAACAGTGTTTATGTTTTTCCATCTTAGTCCCTGGAAAGCACCCGCCGCATGCTGCAGTTGGTTGAAGAGGTAAGAAGTGGCTTCTATTAACATAAACTAGTGCCCTGTGTTGACATGTTCATTCTTAGCTCCTATTGATTTTACCAAAGCCATGTCCCTCTTGCTTCCAATGCTAACACAGCTCATCAGAAAGCTAAAAAATACTGGAAATGTCATAAGTTGTCAGCTAATTATCAAGATGTATTCATTGCCATCCATCCCAGGCTACCTCTAGAGTCTGGAGTGTAGAAAAACCTACCATTTCCAAGTTACTACTTCTAATATTCACCAAAAAAGGAGGTAGTCCCTGGAAGCAGATAGAACAGTGCTTAACTTGTGAATGAATTCTCTACATAAAACATTCATTTCTAATGATATTTTTGCAATAAATTCCAGCTAATCTAAAATTCTGTTCTTGACTCCAACTACATTTATAGCTTTTAAAAAATATGTATTTTTATGCAGGCACATCATCTTTTGAAATTGTTGTATTTAGTGTTGGACACTAAAATTTATGAAAAAAAATAGGAGAAATCTTTAACAAAGAAAAAAATCTAGTCCAATTAAGTAAATATAAAAGTTCTTTTATATTACTGACTCTGAACTGCACATCCATTTGTAAAGCGTTTGTAATGCATGGCTTAATGAATCCCAAACTATTTTTAAATGGGTAAAATAGGGCAGAAAGCAATAATGGAATCAAAAGAGCATTTGCAATAAAGCCTACTCGTTCCAATTTGGTAGAACAGCAGTCAACCAGGAAGAATAAATGGATTAATTGAACTTGCCCATTGGGAGAGATGGAGTAGAGAAAGAATGGGTTTGGACTATATTTATCTTAACCTAATAAAACAAGTCTAATGGTTTTTATTCAGCAAGATGCCACTTTAGCCACAGTTTGAATGTGACTGCTTATCAATGTATAAATTCATGTGTGATTATCTTTTCTAGAGATCTTGGGCTTTCTCTGGCAGAATGATTAAATGAGCCTATTCACCCACCCCCATGCTACTGTGAATTGCTTATGCAATGACATGAAGAGGAAGGGGGAAAAAAAGATAAATTTTTACAAAAGCTTAGAGGAAAACTAGCTGCCTCTTCCACTACGGCAGCAAATGCTGTCTTCCTTTATTTCTGAAGCTGCAGGGCCTCACCTAAGGGTGTGATGTGGCTAAAGGTGAATGACCACAGGAAGAGTGGGGATTTGTAATGATGAGTTCTCTGGGAGGAAAAGTCTGATATTTCAAAAGTGGTAAACTGAGCTTACATTGCAGCACAAATTGGCCCCCATAGAGAGAGGCCTCAGCAGCATAGAAGTGCAGCTCTCTACTCTGAATGAAGAGAAATATCTCTTTCGCCCTGTTCTTGGGATACTGCTCATACAAAAAGGCATAAATGCCAAAAAGGAGACAAGTAGCCTCAGTCCAAGTGTATTGGCCATTAATCTTAATGTGTTAATTTCCAATGTGGTGCAAGAAAAGAAAAGAAGCCAGAGCTTCAAACATTCTTACAGGAGCTCTGAGCATAGATAAGAGCTCACAGCTTAACTGCTATATTATTATATAAAATTACTTTATTGTATGCTGCAGTATTATCATAATATACTTCATGACCTACAACCAGAGCCCCCAAACACACTTTTCACTTGTTTGTGCACATGCCTTCATATATGATGTATATTTCTCAAGCTGTCTCCAATTTGCCCAGTTATGGCAAATATGAAATGTTAGAACATTGCCTAGACTGTGAGCAATGGGATAAAATGCTTCAGAATGCCCCCCTTTAAGCTGTTTTTTTTTTTTTTTGTGCTTCAGAGTCTTGGGAACATGGACCCTTCTCTCTTGTATGTCTTCTTAAAACGGAAGTAGTGTCAGCCTATCTTGCAAAACTCTGTCTGCTTTAATTTGTTCTAAGAATAAAGGCTCCATTGATTGAAGTAGGATGCTCAAATTATATGTTTTTGTTTCTTGTAAATTGTTACTCCATCAAGCATGAAGTTAGATCTTAGAACACAGGATGAAAGAGATGGCTTCAATCTCCCACATCTAATAAATAAGAGGAGGCTGTTAGACATTTCATCCTTAGAAATTTTTGAGGAAGGCATTATTAGAGTAGACTGATTTGCTGTTACTCCTGGGTAATTGTATATTTATAGTGAAACATTCCTCATGTCTAGGGATTGGCTATTCAGATGATATTCTGATTTTCAATCAAAAAGGAAATTCTCTTAAAAGAAAATCAGTATTAAATATTCATCAAGGACAGAAATCATTTGGAAAATAAGAGCTTTGAAATACCAGGATCTTACTGACAACCCCAAAGTCCGTTGGTGCTATGTAATTTGAATTGAACTGAATTTTTATTGAATTCAGTTTCAAAGTCACGAAAGGTACTAGAATTGGGAAGTCTCCCTAAGGCAATAGTCCACTTCCCATGAAAGCACAACTTCACACTATCACTAATAAACTCTACAGTATACCAGCAGGGGAGGTTGGGGGGATGGCTTTTAATGGAAGTCACTATCAGTATTTCAAAGACGATGTAAAGTTACTCAGAGGTCAGTGGAGAAGTTTCAGAAATCCAAATATCATAGACTGGTACAAAGGTTAGAAACTTAGTGGCATTCAGTTCACAACCTGGAGTTGGACACTTAATTTTGAAGGGTACATTTCAACAAATATCTATGTAATACCGAACACTGGAGATAGGAGAGAAGATACAAATTTATTTATTGCACAGAAACCAATATGTAAATAGATGTTCAAATTCAAGGTCATACCTATGATGGGCTCATAAAAGAAAAAAGAAGAAGTAAATCTTGAAAGAGAATCATTAAGATGTCCTCCAGGAGGAAATACTTGAAAATAAAAAGATTAACTCTGCTGATGCTGAATGCAGAAATGAAGTCTGCATACTAACACATCTTAGACCATGAAACTTGAGCCAGAAAAGGCCTTACTGCTTCAGGCATGGAGATTTGAAGACACCACATAGCCTTCCTGAAATAGTTATGGAAACACAAATATTTCATGAATGTCTTTCATCATTTCTCTTTCTATACCAGCTTCTCTTTCAAAATGCTTTAGCAATAAAAAAGAATCATTCAACAGATACAATTGTAGAAAAAAATTTTATAAAATCAAGTTGGTAGTGTTTTGTTTTGTTTTTAATTTAAACAGATGTGAGGTCTTTCAGAGTTCAAGAGAGTGTGCGGGGTGTGTCCAGGCTTTAGGACAGATGCCTTGGAGTTTGATGAAAGCATTCCAAAGGACAGCAAAAAGATAATCTATAAACACTGGCTTGGTTCATTGACAAAATAAATAAATTCATTGATACATTTTAAAACTAAAAATGAAAAATTAAATTGTACGAAAGAAAGAAATGAACAGAAAGATTTCTAGCTCCATTAGACAGGCTGTTCCCTACTCCAAACTCAAACACAAAGGAAGAATTGAACTCAGGTATAACTAGTGCTACCCCCTCTCATTGTCAAGCTGGCTAATAAAGCACACACACAACTCTTCAAGGAACTGGAGAGAGATATTCTACTCCCTTTGTGGTGCTTTCCCTATCCTTGCCTCTCTGTCTTCTAGATATTCTAAGACCCACCCAGTTTTTTGATGAAGCCACCAGCAAAATTATGGAATCAAATTTAAGTTCATACCTTTTTTGAGAACTACCATGTGCTTAGAGCCATCATTATCACCAGCATATTCAAATATTTGTTAGCTGATTGAACATACAGCCACATTTTACTACTGCTTTGATATTCTGTCTTTAACCCAGAGGATGTTGAGACATTCAATGGTTAAATACCTTGCTTCAGACATATAGCAGGAAATGGCAAATATGATATTCATGAGTAAAATACCTTATTTCAGGGTGTGGGTTCCCACACACAGCACCTCAGTTTCAATCTGCCATAATTTTCTTTTTCTTTGTGAGTTCCATATCAAGTAAAATGATCTGAGCGAGCAGAATAGCTTATTCTAAGCATCCCCTGATTCCCTCCAAATCAAATCCAACATTTGAATTTGGTGTCAAATCCAACAATTCCTTCATGTATCCCACTCAGCCACCCATGAACTGAACGAGCTTTGGGATGTCTATACTTTCTAGAACTCATTTCATCCTTATTATGACACTGGGAAGTGAGAGAGCTTTTACTGCCCCCAATTAACCAGAAAGTGTACTGAGACACTGAGAAGTTGAGATTAGAACAACAAGACTTCAAATCGAAATCTAGAATTTAGAATCATTTATTGAATCCAACACATATTTCCACCTGCTGACCAACTCATTTGTCACACTAAAAATTGCCACTGACAAACAAGCCATACAGTTTTCTATCCCTTATTCTTAATATCTGGGACAGAGTAGATATCCACTACATATTCATGGAATAAGTGAATGAAAAAACACATAAATGAAGTAATGATAAGTGGAAGGGATAAAAGAGATTCATGAACCTATCCACCACGCCCTCTTACTTAGTGTCTCTCCCTTTAGTATGAGAAACAGTGAGACAACAGAAGAGTCACCTGACCTTCCAGCACAACCCAAGGTTGTCTTGTTTTGTTTTGTTTTGTTTTGTTTTGTTTTGTTTTGTTTTGTTTTGTTTTGTTTTGTTTTACTTCAAGGTCTTCACATTCCACTTACGTTCTCCCAACTGGGACAGTGTTAAACACTCTTGCTCCTTCCAGCTCATTCAATGACTTATTCTAGTGTTGAGATATGCAGCACCTAGTTGGAAAACTTGTAAAATTATACTTATATGGTATCATACAAATAAGTGATAGCCATTATACCTCATAGATCTAATGCTGTGACTTACAAATAGATTGATAACTGGCCTAACAAAAGTCACCAGCTTCTCTCCATCTTCTGTCCCCAGCGGAATGGTACAGGATCTCTTCTCTGAGGAGAAAATGTTCTCTAACATATTTCTGCACAGTCACATCCATATGCCTAAATAAGCTTTTCATTACAGTATCTCTTAAGCATTGGCTAGCAAATTCAGAAAAGGGTAAAGGAATCATTACAATGCAGACTAAGATAGAGGGATATCCACTTAGAATGTACTTAAAGAAAGACTTCAAGGTATCTTTTGTGATCTATCATCTCTCTGATTGCTGTGTGTCCCCCTGTAGCATGCAATAGAGCAGGTTAGATTCCTAGTCATGGAAACTTTCAAATCGAGTAGGACAGTATCTTCACTTCTCCCACCACCCACTCCCCTCCCTGCCTCCTAATAACTTAGGTAGTCTTGTTTTATGTGGATAAAAAGAAGTGAGATGAGAAGTTCTAAAGATTGGTGCACAAAAGAACTGCAGCGACCCTGGAGAGGACTGATTTTTCTCACACTGAATCATTGTACAGAACTGTGGATTTCAGAGCAAAATATGTTCTGATCTCACTCTGTCTTCCAAATCTAGAAGAGCTTCTCTCCACAGAGAGTCAGTTTCCTTTTGAGCTGTGCCTCTCAAACTCATCTCTTCTGTGATGACCCTAAGTACTAGGACTCCAACATCCTTATTTATCTTCTATGAGGCATCCCTGCCCTGACCTGTAAATGGGCATTTTTTTGTCAAACTTACCAGGGAAGAAAATTCAGTCTAGAAGATTGTGAAAATGTTGCTTTCTGTGTAATGAAAACTGTAGTAGTTTTACTTTCGAGGTATATAGATTGTATGGTATTACATACATGCATTTCAATGTACACTTACGGTATTGAAGGACCCAGGCCCACCCTATGGAGGATGTGCTTCATGCCTCCTCATGAGTCCCCTGAGAGTCACTAATAAAGTTCCCAGTTCCCCCTGGTCCCTACCCAGCCCCTTAATGCTCTTTTCAGGTGTCTTCCCTTTTATCTCCATTTGGTCCTTCTCCACTTTCCATTTCCAGGGATAATTGTCTCCTCACTGATTTCTCTTTCTCTTTTCTCTCTCTCTAACTCCTTTTCAACTTTGCTACCATTATTGGAATATAGAGTAAAGATGCTGGCATCAGGACTTTGGTTATGTTGGATGAGCAAGGCGGTAAGTTCAGATTTCTTCAGTAAGAACAATTCTTCATCTGAATTAATTTGCAGTTTGTAAAGTTTTTGTACACCCTCAGATGGGCATTCTGCATGTGTTACATGTATATATAAACATAAGGGTTCTAGAAACCTCATTTGCTAATTTTCTTTCTTTGTTGAAAATAATGAATGTAGAGATGTCAAGGCCTTCTTCATGACTGAATTAATGATACTGCTATCTCTGCTCTGTACATTTATCACAGGTTTTAAAAGCAAAATCTATGTGTATTTCTTAAAAGACAACATTGTAGACAGGATTGAGAATTTTTTGTGTTCTTCTTATCCCCAAAGTTTCCCAATAAATTTGGTTTCCTTCCAATTAATATCCAAGTTATGGGATATAGTATGTGAGGATATGCATTGCTCCTGACCCTTCAAATTTAACATCTGGAAGTTTTGGTTCTCAAGTCAAATTGATTTTCTAAATAACTAAAAATTATTTTTATGTGGGGTCTGAGAAGTAGAAATTTTAAACAATTAGAGCATTTGAGCTATTTTAAGGCATTTTTGGAAAGGCTAGGAACAAAAAAACTTGGAGAATCTTAGTATATTGTCTCTAACCACTAAGGTGGAAACTATAACATCAATATCATAGTTTTCTTTGACTCGAAATATCCACAGATTTGGTGATAATATGCATAATTATAGCAACAAATTCTTCTCCTGTTTTTATTTTGAATTCTTATAATAACTAGATACTTGAACATTTTCATACTTTGTAAAGCATTGTTAAAATAATTAGGGTTGTAATTTTTTTCTCCAGTGGGAAATATAAGAATGTAAAACTCGTTCCAGCAAAGACATGATAAACTCCAAGCATGAATTTCAAATTAAGAGAAAATTTGCCATGCCGATAACTTGTCATAAAACATGGAGAACCCATGCATATTATCAAAGGAAAACAACTAACAGAAAAATGAGCAGGAGATATAAAGCTTTAGTTTGCAAGTAGATGTGTAAAATATTGTCTCAACCATTAGTGGTAAGGCATGCCAGTTTTAGCAAGTTGATTTCTTCAGTAAGATACAAAATTTAAAAATTGACAATAACCAATGCTAAAGCGTATTGGGCAAACAAACTTAATTTTCACATGGGTGCCTTGGACTGATACACATGTCATAAGGAACAATTTGATAATCATATCTCCAATTTTAAAGTGTTCCTATCTTTAACCAAAACATTCAAGTCCTAGATTGTTGGCACTGAAGTTCAACATTTACAGTTATGTAAAAAAAAATGAATATGCTTTACTTGTAGCTGTATAAGACTAGGAATAATCTAAATATTTGTCTGTGGAAAGATTAAGAAAATCAGCTATGATATGGCAATGAACAGATATTCTGCCATCAACCTAGTACATAACTTATGTGTTTAACGGTTTCTGGAGCACTAGGATTGGAGTAAGAAGAGAAGAGAGAAAGCCATAGCACTTGAGGTGTTCTGAGATACAAATTAGAAGTATTAGAGATTTATTAGGAAATGCCAGTGTTGGATCTATGTAGATAGTAAAAGCCTATGTTTGCTGGGTTTGACTGTCATATGGGTCCGACACCTAGAAAAGGAGTAGGAGAAGAAAGGAGTATAGACTGGAAGGAGTGTCAGATTACTGAACTGTTCTGAGAAGGTCTCAGCAAGGTTAATAGAGAGCCCAGGAGCTAAGATTCTTAGCCCCAAGTCTAGAAAAAAAGCCCATGTTGGGCAGATATGCCCCAGACTGAGCAGCCCTGCTATGCCAAGATACTGACTCATAGCATCTTCAGAAAGCATGACCCCAGTATGAATGTCATGAATGCCATACAATTCACAAATGCAAAGCTACACCCCACTTCTCCGAAAGGTTCCTCAATGTGACTATCATAAAGAGGCATTCATTTTTATAGTATTTATTTATATTAAACTTTTTTCAAAAATACACCAAATAATTTTTAAAAAAAAGGAAAAAGACAATTGTACACCAACCCCATTACCTTTCTTCCAATGTTCAAATTATGCTTTGTTAAAACCTCTAAAATTAAGAGTATAGTTGAGTTCTGTTCTAAAGGTATTACAACAGGGTCAGTCTTGAGAACTTACCCCATAGATCTACCGTAGTTACATGCTGGTTTGATCTGTGTAGCAATGACTTACCTCTGAAATCTGGGGTGCAGCAAACCATCACCTTAAAAGTTGTGAAACAGAGAGTGCTGCCATAGAAGAGTAACAATTCTCAAAACAAAACCACCTGAGTGAGTAGCAGTTCTACCTTATCCACTTTTTCAGTTAGTAATCAGCAGTGTGGAGAAAGTAGCTTTATAGCAGAAGAAAGACATGGAATAAAGGCACAGAAAACAATAGACAGAGACATAGAGCCAAAGAGACAAAGGCTAAGGACAAAGCTCCATCGGATAGGGCCTATTTAGCAAGAATGAGGTCCTTGGTTCAGTTCCTGGAATCTCAGATGAAAGGAGAGGAAGAAGGGTAGGAAATGAACAGCCTTCTCACCTGAGCTGCCAATATCTTTGTACTTTGTTGAAGAAAAGCTAGAGGTACAATGTGCTGGAATCCCCATTAGGGTGGAAAAATTCCCAATTTTAAACAGCATGATTCCCACAAGCATCTATATATTGCTACCTAAGAAACAAAGAACAGATCTCCACCCCCACCCCACTCTACCCCACCCCCACCCCCACAGGACACTGAATGATTTCAGCTGAAACATTCTGGATTCTTCCAATAAACATATTTCTGAGAGCTGGTGCTATAGCCAAGGTGTAATGAACAGCTCATACCGACAAAAAAAAAAAAAAATCCCTCTGATTGTAAATCTCCAAAAGTAGGTGATCTGGGACTTGTCTTAAGGGGTACACATTCCATTTTGACTAAACTAAAAACTTAAGAACTTTGCATGTGACAGATGCATATGCCCTTGCCTCTAAAAGCATTTGATTCTATTTGTGCAATGTTTACTTGTTTAGATCAGTAACTGCTTTTTGATTTCTCTTCAGTCTATGCTGTATTAATTTTGTCTCTGCCTGACATCCAAAGTGTTGACTATTTGTACCTCGCAGTTGCTCAAGGAACTGCAAGCAACAACCGTCCTCCTAGAGAACCATTGTATCTACTGTCCAGGCAGGCCAGACCTCCGTAGGTGGTCCAACTGAACGGTTGCACTGAGAAGTTGCTTCTAGGATTCTTGTTTTATACCCAGGTATCAGGAGACAAGGAGCCTCAGACAACTCTGGAGACATACAGAGCCCTGGGACTATTGTTCACCTCAAAGTATAGTCTCCCAGGAAAGTGCCCTAAAGGTTTCTGTGCTAAAAATGAATTCATCTAACCTTTAACTTCTGTTTTTCTCTTATTTCTTTTGTTTTTGTTTTTGGTTTGTTTGTCTTGATGACTCAGTCCAGACTCTCTGAGAACTTACATATAATGATCTCTAAATTAAATTAAGTAGTAAAATCTCTGACCACTGCTGGCAGGAGAGAGAGAGAGAGAGAGAGAGAGAGAGAGAGAGAGAGAGAGAGAGAGAGAGAGAGAGAGAGAGAGAATAAATCAGGGCCCCATCTTGAGAGCCAGCTAACTCTTACCTTAAAGTTAATGACACTATGAAGCAGCATTTCAGAAAATACCCCACCCCTTTGCTAATGTCCACTCACCAACCACCAACCTCAGGTAGGAATGGCTCAGCCACTGTGGATATGTGGCTATGTCACTTTGTTTAAAGAAATTTCGTGTTCTCCAATGCTAAGCAAAGTGGAAACCATGCAGGCAGTGTCTTTTAACTGAATATTAGTATGAAGGCTTGCACACTAGGTAAACCACAGTGTTTTACTTTAGGATCAGGCAGAGTATTCTATGAGCCTTAATATAAGATCCTTTACTTAGATGATATTGGTAGAAAAGATGTCTAAACAAACCCCTAAGCAATCTATCTCCTGCTGGTGAATCTATCACAGACAATTGATTACTCAAATTTCTGGGGGAAGGGAGGAGGTTTAAATTTCTGCTAACAATGTGTACTGTTATATACTGTTATTTAATTGAGGACTAGAAGACTCTCCTGACCCACCCCTCCCCCCAAAAGTTCTCTTCTCAACCTCCAACAACAAATGCACAAGCTTAGGGAGAGAAGACGTAGTAAATGCCATGCAGTGTGCTATGAGACCCTCACAGATGCAGCTGTTTGTGAGAATGAAATAAAGACATTGGATGATCTTATGAACTTCCTGCGAAGTACTTCACAGCAATTATTCCAAGGCTACCAAGTCTCAATGTGTCAAATACACCCAGAAACTCAACTCAGCACAGTAAAATTAATATCATTGTTAAAACACCTGGACAAAATAGTTCTATGCTGGGTTTTGTTTGTTTGTTTGTTTGTTTGGGGAGGTGTTTTTTGTTTTCTATTTTTTATCAAATTCAACATCAGACTTTTCTCTTTCAGTCATACGTTTGCCAACAAAGCTGGAAATCCGTGATACAAATGCAGCTTTCAAAAGTGTGAATATGGATGTGTTCATTTTTGTCTTTCAATGATCTAACTCACAGGTCCAACGACACTTAAGGGTCCATTGCCATTTATATATTCTCTAGAGGCACCAGGGATAAGACTTCTGAAACCTTGTCAGAGTCATTATTTTTGCAAAAACAAAGAACCATTCATTGTTTTCTAACTTAAGCGAAATGTGTCAGGAAGTGCAAACATCTGAAGACCCATTCCTTCACAATCATGTGTGTATTGCAGCCATTATTTGTGCCCTGTAGTGCGTTTGCCCTTTGAGCCCAGGTGCTTGTTAAATCCATTCGAACACAGTACTGTTTGAGCTGTCAGCAACTGTTTGATTTGGACGAGCATCCTTATTTCTATCTGTATACAGGATGGTTCTTCATTTGATGACATATTGATGAAGGCAAGAACCATGTGAACCAAGACATGTAAGAAGCCGAGAAAAATTTAAAAGGGTTAGGGAAACACTGCATCCTTCCTCTTACACCCTAATCCTATCACTCAGGGGTTAAGTTTGATTCACAAACTGATTTATTGTATTCATAAAAGGAAACTAGCTATAAAAAAAACCAAACAAGCAAACAATTGAGCTTGGCATGATTGTGCTTACAGTCCACTACTTTGGATGCTGAGTTACAGGGGAAGATCCTGTATCAAAATGCAGACAAACAAATGAGGAAGGGATGAAGGCACGGAGATAGGAATGGCTCCTCAAAGTGAGGAAGCAGTACAGGAGAGAAATCTCCTTTCATATAAAGATTTTCAGGACACCCCTGTCTCTGTGCACTTTACAGAAGTACTGCATTGCTGTGCCCTCAAAGTTGAATAAACACTGGAGTGTTTTCATCAGCTTTGGAAAAGCATAGTAGAAGCAGCAGAGACCTAGTCAGGGACAGTTTCTTCTTTAGCCTCACTAAAGAGAGCAAAAACAATCTCTTATTACTTAAATTCATGTGTTCATTCTTTAGTTCACTAGTGAGCCTCCTTTAGGTTTTATGGTAAAAATTTCCATAGCACACATGAATGTGAAATGGTTTTCAGATAGCTGTTTATGTCCATAGGCTAGAAATGTACTGATCAGTTTTATCCTAGGCATTCCTGTACTTCTAGAAGCACAATTGTCAAAGCATGCATGAAAACATAGACCAAAAGAGGAGTAGGGTTATAACTGGACATTATCATTAGACAGTCAAGATATTATATTGCACTTCTCCTTTAATGGTCTTAAAAACTACTTGACAAATCCCTCTTTCATTAAACTTGCAGTTCCCCCAAACTGATGACACTTGTGAGAAATTAATCAATTGGGTTTATGTAACCTAACAACCTTGAACTGATAAATTTTTATGAGTATCAAGCTGTGTTTCAGATGCTCAGAGGTCTCCTTGTAGCAATGGAACAATGCCATTCTAGGTGCTAAACCATTGCCCCTCTTTCAAAGAGACACACATTCTCCTTGTTCTCTGACCAGGTTGATAGTGAGCAGGTCCCTTATTGTAGACCTTGGGGAACCATGGTGAAAGAATAAAATGTCTTCCCCAGCTATTGAAACAAGTCACTTATAAGGTTAAAAAATGAATAGAAATGTTTTGGTGCCTACAGTATCACTGTGCTGATGTTGCTTTCTTTTTCCAGCTAATATGAATTAGATAAAGAAAACCAAAAACAGATTACCTTTGACTGTACATCCACCGCTGAGGGAAGAACAGAAACTCATAGTTATGTCTCTTCCTGCTTACTGTTCTTTTGTTGCCCCAAAGACAACAGTGTGTTCTATTTTCTCCTCTTATCTGGTTGAGGATACTTAAAAACCAAAAGATATGGATACTTTGAAATTGAAGCAAATAATCTGTCTAGATGCTTTGAATGAGAACCCCTTAGATATAAATTAATACCTGTTTTTTCTTTCTCTTGAGTATCACTGGTGTCTGAGTCAGTACACTGTGCTGTTTCCCTGGATATGCAAAATCAAACAGATCTTCTGATTCCATCTCATTCCGTCTGAACTGCAAACTATTTTGAACATTGTTCTTGTTCATTTCCTTCCACCCATGTCTACTTAGGGCAGCAGCAGCCGTATACAGCAATGCATCCTCCTGGACAATGCATTGTAATCTCAATATCTCTCTCTCTCTCTCTCTCTCTCTCTCTCTCTCTCTCTCTCTCTCT